CCAAGGCATCGCCCCTGAAGCGACCTTGAGAGCCAGCTACTCAGAGCACAAGCCATTGGTTCATTTTGAAGTTTGGAGGAGACATAAATCACAAGACATATCCTATCCTACCCTATTCCTAACAAACACAATGCTGTTTGCTCTCTGTTTGGAGGTGAATATTACTGTTATCTGCCATGATATGCAGGTCTGTGTATGATTAAAGCAGCAACAAGTTTCCAGATTTAATTAAGAGCCATGACAAAACAGTATGGAGTCTAGGAAAAGGGAGGAATACTGGCAGCTATATAAAGCTAATGACCAAAAAGACACAGTGCAAGTACCAGGAGATGAAGCATATAGTGCCCAGTGTAAGCTGTGGATGTGCCTGCTACTGTATTATCCTCACTTCTCTCTCTCTAAAGTGCACAGGAAGCTTGCAGAAAGACAACAAACCTCCCTAATTACTCTGATATTCACAGGCCCAGAGTCTCTTTTACTGCACCTTCAAGTAAGGAACAGGGCAAAAGCCCACCTGGCTTTTGCGCACAGTGCTCCAAGTCAGGGCCTCATGATGGGGCCGCTTGTGTAGGGTTTTAATGTGGATAGACTTCCCCCTCTCACAAGCTCAAACATTTTCGTGTTACTAAGCATGTTTAAGGAGTACAATTCTATTCCCACATTTCATGCTTCAAGATGACACAAGAGCCTTATAAGCCTCAAAAAAAGACATTTTTAAATTTTTTTTTTTTCCAGATTCATATGACCAGACCTTCAACAAAATCAAAACCAAATATGATTCATTTGGGCAGTGGACTCCATCTCAGAACAATCAATTTGTGTATCTGGAATATACAATACCTGCAGATTAGACAGCAACATCCTCCTTGCTAGCTGTGCTACAGCACCAAGTAAAGTAATTGATTCCTCGCATCAAACAGCAAGCTTGTGATACACCTTTCCTTTCAGCCACTGCAAGAAAGCCCCTCAAGCCAACACCAATTAAGGAACAAAGAGACACCTTTCTGCAAAAGTACCATAGCCCACTTCCTTTAATCTGGAACATGACTTCCTCATGAAACTTAGCTGGGACTGAAAAGGTCAAGCAAACAAACAGACCAATCTACTAAACGCACTAGGCACAGAACAACTTCAGGAGGCTGGTACATCTTCATAACTCAAACCCTTTTACAAGGGAAATTAAATTACCTTTAATGCAACTGTATTGTCTGGCAAATAAAGACTCAGATGGCATTCAAGGATCCTGAGCGCTAATCTCAGACTAAAATTACCCACTTAATCTATAGCAAAAAAGATTATACTGACCATATACAGGTTGAAACCTGCTTGTAACTGAAGGATTACAGAAAGGGTCGTGGCTTGAAATACTAATGCACGTAAAGTTCGGAGACGCAGATGGGAAGGCAAATCCTTTGCTGGCAAAGCAGGCTTTGCAAAATTTAAAAAACTTTTCCAGTCACTTTACCATTTTAAATGCTCTTATGATGCAGTGCAAAGCATTCACAGGATGTCTACAGACTGGCTTTTCTCACACTGAGGACAGTCTCCTGCAAGGTTTTCCTGCCAGGGAGGAGGACAGGAGCTAAGCACCGATAAGAGGAAACAGAGTCACTGGGATATGAATGTGCTCATTGGCCAGCCCTGCTCTCCATCCCAATTAAGTCAATGAGTAGACATTACAGTCTAGACATGTCAGGATGTCTACGGAAACACAGCTCCTCTCCTTTCTCCCCACATGTTGGGGGAATTCAGAGTATACAGAAAACTTTCCTATATCACATAAATGGGAGTTCAGAAATAGGGCAGGTGAAGTTCATGTCTGAGGCTACAGACGAGGACATTCCAATCTTTCAGTGGACTCTATTCCTGCAAAAGCCACTTACTCAGCATCATTCAGAATGAGCCCATAACCACAACAAAATAGAGGCAAACGTACAAAATCCACCCTGCAGCTACGCGTACGTTGGAGGCCAGCGAGGTACAGACCATATGCAGAAGGGAGGAACAGATCACTGAGTTACCCAAGCCCACCCGCTGCCACAGTAACAAACTCCGCTGTAAACAAAAAAAAAATAAAATAAAAAAAAATTGTAAGAGCCACTCTACTCCATAAGGCACTCAGGGTTTCACCCCACCAAAACGGAAGACTTGGGTCTTTCAGCGAGCAATGCCATTTCTTACAAAGCACTTGCAGATTTCACATATGCTGGTCTTTTAACTGTTCCAGTAACACTGCCTTTCTCACAACAATGTCATCTATTGAGAAGAATTCAAAGTATGTCAATTCACATTTAAGATAAGCTAACATATTTCCCCAAACAGAACAAAGATACATATCTATACATATCTTCTTTCCTCCACTGGCGGTTGCCGAGATGAGTTCACACATGGACTGGTCCAACAAACACCCTTACAAGCAATTATCATAATTTACTAAGAGGCAGTGTTTCTGTAAACATGTCCTTCTTCAGTGTCTGACAATTAGCTCAGTCCAGAATCTTACAAGAAGATGAAAACGTGTAAGGGACATCTCCGATTTCTCGATTTGGTGTTGGAAATTATGTGAGCCTCAAATACTTCGGCAGAGGTAATTTACAGTCTGTGAGCAAATGTTCACCTTGAATAGTATGAGTTCA